GGATATCAAATTGGGGAGGAGAGGAGTATGGAAGAAGTGAATGTTTTTTCAGATATTGGGAGTTGAAGTGTCGGGCGGATGGGTTTCTGTAGGATGAGGTTAATCATAGAATTGATGAGGGAAAAAAAGGTGGTGGTGGTTGAGGTATATTTTTTTTTCTCACACTGGCCGATTCCCACCAAGGCAGGGTGGCACGAAAAAAGAAAAACTTTCACCATCATTCACTCCATCACGGTCTTGCCAGAAGGGTGGCTTTACACTACAGTTTTTAAACTGCATACAATTAACACCTCTTCAGAGTGCAGCACTGCGGACTTCCCATCTCTGGATCAAGTCCGTCCTGGCGGTTTTCCCTGAACCCCCTTCATAAATGTTACTTGCTCACACTCCAACAGCTCGTCAAGTAGGTAAAAACCAATTTTTGGGTCTCTTTTTTTCCATTCACTCCTATCATACCACTCACGCAGTGCCGGCTGGAAGTACAGCCCCTGGCACACAAAACCACCTTTACCCCGTTCCTCCAACCTTTCTAGGGCCGACCCGACCCGCCTTCCTTCCACTATCAGACTGATACACTCTTGATGTTGTTCTGTTTCGCTCCATTCTCTCACATGTCCGAACCACCGCAACAACCCTTCCTCAGCCCTATGGACAACAGTTTTGGTAATCCCGCACCTCCTCCTAACTTCCAAACTACGATTGACTGCAGTAGTTTCACACCTACACAGGGCTCTCAGACATGACTTCTTCCACTGCCTCCAGCCTTCGCCTCGCTGCAATTTCATTCATCTCCCTTGCTTTCACACCAGTAAGTGCGTGGTAATAAATATACTCTAATTCATTCCCCGCTTGCATCTGGACAATGTGCGTTGTCTCACAGACTCCTATGTGACCACTCACCCTTTTCCCCTCATCAATTCTGTGATTCACCTCATCTTTCATAGTACCCATCAGCTGACACGTCCATCCCAAAGATCGGAATTCAGTTCACCCCTCCATACTCTCTCCCTCCAATCTGATATCCAGTCTTTCATCCCTAATCGTTTTTGTTATCCTCATAACCGTAACTCTTTGCCTGTATTCTACTTTCATTTCTTCTTTTGACACCCTTCCAAATTCATCCACCAATCTCTTGCCAACTTCTCTCTGGAATCTCCCAAGAACTACAGTGTCATCAGTAAGAGCAACTGTGAACAACTCCCACTTTGATGTGTGTTTCTTTATCTTTTAACTCCACGCTCTTGCCATGACCTCGCATTGACTTCTACTTACACCCCATCTATAAATAATTAAAAACAACCACGGGTGACATCCACACATCTTGTCTAAGCCTTACTTTACTGGGAATAATTTCCTCTTTCCTACTACTCTAACTGAGCTCATATCCTCGTAAAACTCTTCACTGCTTTCAGGTACTTCCTCCTACATCATACACTGCAACATCTGCCAATTGCCCCCCCTTATCCACCCTGTTCATATGCTTTTACCAAATCCATAAATGCCACAAAGGACCTCTTTATGCTTATCTAAATACTGTTGACTTATGATGTTTCACTGTAAACACCTGGTCCTACACATCCCCTACCTGTTGCTAAAGCCTCCTTGGTTCATCTGCATATCCTATTATCCGTCTTAACTCTTAATTCTTTCAATAATAACTCTACCATACACTTTGCAGGTTACGCATTACAGGACTTATCCCCCTTATAATTTTTGCACTCTCTTTTTATCCCCTTTGCCTTTATACAAGGAAACTATGCTGCTCTCTGCCAATTTCCCTAGGAGACCTTGACCCTTTCCATCATTTTATTAAATAATAGACCAACCCACTCAAAACTATATCCCCACCTGCTTTTAAATTTTATCTTTATCCCCATCAATCCGGCTGCCTTACCCCTTTCATTTTTACTCTGCCTCACGAACTTCCCCACTACTCACAACTGGCTCTTTCCTCATTCTCCGACAAGATGTTGTTCCTCCTTGCCCTATACACGAAATCTCAGCTTCCCTATCTTCATCAACATGTAACAAATTCCTCAAAATATTCCCTCCATCTTCCAATACCTCTACTCTCATTTAAATAACTTCTCCTCTCTCCTATTTTTAACTGTCAAATCATTTGTTCTCTTGGCTTTCTTAACTTGTTAATTCTCACTCCAAAACTTTTTCTTATTTTCAACAAAAATTTGTTGATAACCATCTCACCCACTCTCTCATTTGCTCTCTTTTTACATTGCTTCACCACTCTTTAACCTCTCTCTTTTTCGCCATATACTCTTCCCTCCTTGCTTCACTCTACTTTGTAAAAAAAACTTCTCGTTTTTGCTAACTTTTTCTCCCTTTACTACTCTCTTCACTGCAGCATTCCTACCATGCGCTCCTTCTTCCCTCCCGCACCCACTTTCCTGTAACCACAATACTTCTGCTGAACACTCTATACACTACATTTTTTAACCCTACCCCATACCTCGTCGACCCCATTGGCTATGCTCTCATTTAGACCATCTATCCTCCAATAACTGTTTATATCTTACCTAAAACTGCATCCTCTGTTAGTTTATAACCCTTCACCTCCTCTTTCCCTGATGTTCTATCTACTTGTATCCCATCTTCCTTTTACTTCTCAGTGTAGCTACAACTGAGAAAAGTGATCTGATTTATCTTGGCCCCTCAATAAAAACATGTACATCCTGAAGTCTACTCAACCGTTTTTATCTTACAAATACATAAATCCAACCAAACTTCTGGATTTTGCCCTTCATCAGATCTTGTATACTTATTTATCTTCTTTTTCTTAAACTAGTATTACCTATAACGAATACCCCTTTCTTTACAAAGTTCAATCAAGGGCTCCATTTCTTTTACACTGGCACCCAAACTTACCTACCACTCCCTGTCTAAATAGTTTCTCCTACTTTAGCATCAGGTCCCCTTCCCACAATTACTCTCTCACGTGGTTCAATGGTCCTATACATTACTTAACATTCTCCCAACAAATCTCTCTCTCCTCTGCATTCCTCTCTTCTCCAGGTGCCATACCACGATTATTAGCCCACTTCTCATCCAGCCTTTTTAACCTTTTAATCCACATTTTCTTGAATGTTTACACTCATTCATATTCTCTTTTCTTCTTCCATTAACTGATCATTAAAACATTAGACTAGCTACCCCTTCCTTTGCTCTTACTCTCTCAGATTTCTCCAGAGTGTAATCCCATTTATTTCCCCCTCCCGAAAACTCCCTACCCCCTTCAGCTTTGTTTCGCCTTAGGGCATGACGTCCACTTCTATTCTTCATAAAAAAAAACGTCCAGCAATCATCTGGTTCTTGTCATCCGCACTAAATCCGCCCACATTTAAGCATCCCAGTTATTATAAAGTTTTTCTTCTTTCTCATTTTGAGGTATATGTGGACGTCAAAAAAACGTTTATTCTATGGAGGCAAAGAAGGGAAGGTTTGAAAGTATAGTAGTACCAACACTCTTATATGGATGTGAAGCTTGGGTGGTAAATGCAGCAGCGAGGAGACGGTTGGAGGCAGTGGAGATGTCCTGTCTAAGGGCAATGTGTGGTGTAAATATTATGCAGAAAATTCAGAGTGTGGAAATTAGGAGAAGGTGTGGAGTTAATAAAAGCATTAGTCAGAGGGCAGAAGAGGGGTTGTTGAGGTGGTTTGGTCATTTAGAGAGAATGGATCAAAGTAGAATGACATGGAAAGCATATAAATTGATAGGGGAAGGAAGGAGGGGTAGGGGTCGTCCTCGAAAGGGTTGGAGAGAGGGGGTAAAGGAGGTTTTGTGGGCAAGGGGCTTGGACTTCCAGCAAGCGTGCATGAGCGTGTTAGATAGGAGTGAATGGAGACGAATGATACTTGGGACCTGACGATCTGTTGGAGTGTGAGCAGGGTAATATTTAGTGAAGGGATTCAGGGAAACCGGTTATTTTCATATAGTCGGACTTGAGTCCTGGAAATGGGAAGTACAATGCCTGCACTTTAAAGGAGGGGTTTAGGATATTGGCAGTTTGGAGGGATATGTTGTTTATCTTTATGTATATGCTTCTAAACTGTTGTATTCTGAGCACCTCTGCAAAAGCAGTGATAATGTGTGCATGTGGTGAAAGTGTTGAATGATGATGAAAGTATTTTCTTTTTGGGGATTTTCTTTCTTTTTTGGGTCACCCTGCCTCGGTGGGAGACGGCCGACTTGTTGGAAAAAAAAAAATATATATATAATCTAACAATAATAAACATTTAAAAATATACCAGAAATGTTATAAATGGTGTAAAGGTGACATTAAAACAATATTAAAGATGGTTGACACAAATCCACTGCCATTATAGTATTCTCCTCCTTTAGCGACGAATTGGTTTACCGATGGGGTCTTAGGTCCCTATCTCCGTCGTTAAGTGAGTAGAGACTGTAGTGACTTTCAGGTGTTTTTGTGGATGGTTTTCATGGTTTTTATTTTCTGTTTCATAAATAAGGTCATTCCATAAAATCCTGGTATGGAAGAGGGAGATTAGTAATTCATTTAAATATGTTTATGGTAGCATCAGTGAGGACATTCATGAAGAAGCCATATGTTTATTCTTGATGCTGATATTGGAAATGCATGACATGAGGCCCTCCAAGTGTTTTGGATGGCTCCAAGGAGTGTGGAGACAGGCATTGAAAGAGGAATCCTGATAGTCAGTGTAGGGCACATCTTTGCTTACCTCAGTCCCTTGCTAAACACCTGTTCTTGCTTCTTGTCTCTATCAGCTCTGTTTATTTCAGAACACTCCAGCAGTAATATTTAAGTATAGTAGTTTTTTTTTTTTTTTTTTTTTCTTTTTTTTTCTTAGTGTATGACCATTAACTTGAGATCTCGGTGAGGATCAATGCATTTGTCTCCTGGTGACACTAATTGAGTTAAACCTCTTTGAAAATTTGGTTGAGATATGATGAATTATTAAATTGTTATGCTTTTAAATGAAAAGGCTCGAGTTTTCTTATACAGGTGCAGAGAGCTTGGACTACTTAATCGGTGTGAGACTTTAGTGCCCCGTTCTGCAACAGAAGAGGAAGTACTGAAGCTCCACTCCCCTACACATCTTGCCTTTCTATGGAGCACGAAAGGGGAAGCTGATTACAACAAGCTTGAAGCACTCTCTGCCCACTTTGATTCCATTTTTCTTCATCCAGTAAGATTCTTGCATCACAGTTTTAGGAAGGTTTATGTATCAACTAAACTGTGTTTTATTTAAAGTAGATGGTTGTGAAGTAAAAAGGCATGCAGGTAATGAAGAAATATAGAGCAAGCTGAAATATTTTTATTTCTTATTTGAAAATAATGCTGTTTGCATAAAGTGCTTAGAATTGTCATCTTGGTTTAAAAGCTGGCTATAAATTCTTAATATAAAAAAATCTCTATATAGATAGCTAACAAGAATATGAAGTGTTTGCAATGAAGAAGGCAACTGACTTCATGTTTTTAATAAACAGGAAAATCATTAAACATAACATTTAATAATTGTCGTTAACAAATTTTTAATTGGGTTATTCTTTTGCAGTCAACATATGAGAACACTCTACTTGCTGCTGGGTGCACTTTAGATTTGGTGGATGCAGTAGCATCAGGAAAACTACAGAATGGCTTTGCTCTGATCAGGTATTACCTAAGCTAAGTTACACAGTTATCTTTCTGTCAGTCTGCTGTAGCCTTAGGAAGGCTGCAGAATAGCTATGCACTGGTCAGGTATTATCTGGGCTAAGTTACACAGTTATCTTTCTGCCAATTTTCTCTAGACCTAGGAAAGCTGCAGAATAGCTATGCACTGGTCAGGTACTATCTGGGCTAAGTTATATTTAGTTACCCTTCTGCTAGTCTCACTTTCTTAATATTAGAACAGTATACTTGAGTCATATTCATTCAATCCAGGAAGAAGGAGCTATATATTTAAACATATTTCTTATGTAACCAAGAATTGGTTGAAAAGAGCTTCCCTTTGTTTTTATCAGATTTTTCTTCAGATTTTTCTTTGCAGTTCCATTAAACCCACAGTTAGTGCTCTCCTTGTTTCAGTTATCATTGTGAACAGGTTTTATCAATCACAAAAAGGGACAAGGTGAAAGTAACGGAGCAGTGAAGCAGTGGTCGTATCAGCATAGATGGACTTTGCTTGAAATTCTCTGCATATTAAGGGGCTTTTGGCATGCACACCTAAGTGTAACTCACCTTTGTACAAACATTGTGTTATGTTGAAATAAAGTATCTTTATCTAGTGAATGTGTAATTAACTATTCAATCTGTTAGCTTTGATTGAAAAGTATTTAGTCCCTTAGCCTTGATTAACATTCAGTAAATGATATTCAGTCTCTTAGCCTTGGTGAATCTAATGCAGAGGCTTGAAGATGGAGGCTTTTGTACTGAAGCCAGTGGAAGAAATGGTGAGGTGCAACAGTTGAAGTCATCATAGGTGGGTGAGACCCACTAGGAGAAGTAGGCCATGCCCATAAGGTTTCCCATATGTTAGCAATAGAGTTGTAGAAGATAACTTCTATACCAAGATTCCATGGTGGTTCTGTGCTAGACAAGTGTATATACAATACCGACAAGTTGATGAATAAGTCATGTGCAATACCTTAGTGTCTTAATCTCTGTTTTTACCTCGTGCATCTGTATGAGATTGATCAAGCTTGCTTCACAGGTGAAGTGTTTATTAAAGATACCCTATCAGCAGGCCATAACCAGACACACAAAACATGTTAATTAAACATTAATGCTCATTAATGTTTAATTACTAGACACAGTGGTCTTCAGATATTCAGCAGGTGAGTTTTGCTTGATTTTTGTGTAGTACAGTATAATCTTGATTTAATGGACTTGAGAAATGTGGGACAAAATCTTCTGGGTCAGTCGATTGAACAGCATCTGGCAAAGTCTGTTGACTACAGATTCGTCTGTTATTGTTACAAGCACAGCAAAATAATCTCATCTCTGTCTACTCAATCACTGGCTACCAGCTCTTCCCTGATGATCCATTAAATGGAAGGCTCAGTATATACAAATAAATTATGGGATGTATTTTCTGTTTAGATTAATTACCAGTTAAGATATCTACACTTTCACGTTTACAGATGTACCTCCAATGTCTTGCAGAGTACATTAATAATAATAGGTAGTAGGTTGGTAGACAGCAGCCATTCAGGGAGGTACTACTGTCCTACCAAGTGAGTGTAAAAGGAAGCCTGTATTTCTTTTACATGATGGTAGGATTGCTGGTGTCTTTTTTCTGTCTCATAAACATGCAAGATTTTAGGTATGTCTTGCTACTTCTACTTACACTTAGGTCACACTGCACATACATGTACATGTTTATGTATACACACTCATCTGAGTTTTCTTTGATTTTATCTTAATAGTTCTTGTCCTTAGTGCTTTTCCTATCATATCCATGGGGAAGTAGAATGAGAATCTTTCCTCCGTAGGCCATGTGTGTTGTAAAGGTCGACTAAAATGCTGGGAACAATGGGCTAGTAACCCCTTTTCCCGTATGCTTACTAAAAAGACAAAAGAAGACGACCGTCAAAGTGGGATGTTTGAATGTGCGTCGATGTTGCGCAAATGATAAGAAAGAGATGATTGTGGATGTTATGAATGAGAAGAAGCTGGATGTTCTGGCTTTAAGTGAAACAAAGCTGAAGGGTGTAGGAGAGTTTCAGGGGGAGGCAGCGTGTCAGCGGCCTCGTTGTGCTCCGGGTTTTCTCGTTTTTACAGGGTCGCTCTACGTCTAGAACTTTTAATTTGGGCCCCATAAATCCTATACGATACTCCCTCTAGCCCCGGGAAACCAATTTTGGGCAAAAAAATTATTACTTAGTCAAAAAAGGAAAATTTAGTGTGACTACCTACAGGTTACTGCCAGAGGGGAATCATAGGCCTTGTTCCGTGTGCAAAAAATAAAAATAGAGGAAAAAAAGTCTCCCTATAACATTGGTATACGTGTGTATAGTGTATACTACAGGGGCTCCCTGTATATAGATGTAAAGGCAAAAAGGTCATTTGAAAACAGGTAAATTTGTAAATGAAGTGATAACCTATAAGGCTGCCCAAAAAGTCCCAGAAACTTACCACAGTGGCCCAGCTGTTTTAATAATTTTCCCTGTCTCTAGTGTACCGCATATAATTGTGATACCAGTGAATAGCAGAATACAGTGTTGTAGTAGCAACAAACCATATTTAATGGTACTTAGGGGAGGGGAGTGACTTTCTTAGTTTTTTTTTCTTGAAATCCCAACTATACGGGAAATTTCATATAAACCTGTATTACCACGGTCGCAATATACACAACGAAAGTAATTATTATTACAGAAAAACGCCCTTCCTAAAAAAATTCCCCCCAGTCAACATTGTGAAAATATAGCATTTATTGTGTGGACCCCCCCCCAAAAAAAAAACTAGAAAAGCTGATAAGCGTTTGATAAAAAAGGGTTGGGGCTCGACCTTCGTCATTGTGGAGCTGCCAGAAATCCCCGGCCTTAAACAGAAATTTTTTTTTTGTATCAATAAAATCACATATTACTGGGTGAAATTTCAGGTAGACCTTCATGTTTACCCCAAATCACCGACATAGTTTTAAATAATGCCCCACTGTCAGATCAATCCGGGTCCGAACCCTCACGGGTCCAAACCCCCTTGATGGTCCGAACCCTTACGGTTTCAAACGGATTCGTTGGACAATAAAGCAGACTGAAAAACGGATGGGTTGTAGGGCGCCCATCAAACACAACAAAAATATAAATCAGGAACGTACAGGGTAAGCTGTCCAAATACAAGTAATTTAGAAAAGAAATACAAATAGCTAGAGTTTCATTTAAGGAGGTTATTAATAGAGTATTCAAAGTTTGCTAGTAAAAATTACAGTAAATCAACCATTCAAATATTTAAAAGCTCTTTAAAGTCTGCAGTCAATAAAACAAACGGGCTTCCACATGGAAAATTGTCATTTTTGGGGAAAATTGGTGTCACGCCCCTTTCAGATACCCATAAACAGCTACGCAGTATTAAAACAGGGAAGGTTTTGGTATGCCCAAATAGGAAAATCTGTGGACTAAAATCAAAAGGGTTTAAAAAGGATAACATCAAAGCTGCTTTCATAGACAACCGGGAAGCTTTCTACAACAATGGGAAAAAAAAGTCTGGGCTGAAGGTACTCCCCTTGATACTGGCCATGTATCAAAACGTAAGGCGGAGGTGATTCCTGATAGTCATAAATGTGTGGCTGTAGTGCTGTCCTGGGAAATATAATGGTGAAGCTGGAGGTGCTGTCCTGGGAACAGAAATGGTGAAGCTGGGGGTGCTGTCCTGGGGAGACAGTAATGGTGAAGCGGAGGTGCTTTCCTGGGAGACAGTAATGGTGAAGCTGGAGGGCTTTCCTGGGAGACAGAAGGGTGAAGGGGGGGGTGTGTCCTGGGAAAGAAAATGGTGAACTGGAGGTGCTGCCCCGGAGACAGTAATGGTAAGCTGGGGGTGCGTCCGGGAGACGTAAGGTGAAGCTGGGGGTGCTTCCGGAGACAGAATAGGAAGCTGGAGGTGCTGTCCGGGGAGACATAATGGTGAAGGGAGTTTTTGTCCAGGTAGGGGGAATTATACCGGGAAGGAATACATATAAATACCTCAAGGGGACGGGAGCCGTAGGGGGAAACAAGTGAGTCAAAGAAAAGATAAAACCAAATTGCAAACAAAAAAACCACAGAAAAGAAACAAAAAGGATCCACTAGCAATAGGAGGATATTTTTACAAAAAAAAGGGGGGGCTCCATTGTTGGTGCTGGGAGGATGGAATAAGACGGGGGAAACATGCCCCAACGGGGAAACAGTCAAAAACCCAAAGGCAAAGGGAAAACCCAACCCCTGCCATACTATGCCTTGGGTATCGCAGACATGGAAATCGGGCAAAACAGACGGGATGTGCAATATGAACCCCCCCTAGAAAATCCATGCCCAAATGACAAAGGAAAATGCAAACTCCCTTCCTGTAAGCTTTTTCACCCCTGAAATGTGTACCCTTTTCATACAGGAAAGATGTGCTAAATTTAAATTCCAGGCACACCATCTAAAGGGACAAAAAGATAAAAAATCCGGGCCCATGGGAAAACCGGGGGTAGCCACAGCCACTCAAAGGGGAGGTTTTTTAGTGCCGGGAAAGGGAAAAAAAAAAATGGCGGAAGGGCGAAATCAAAACACCAATCCAGTTTTCCCTGGAGTGGAACCACAGTCGATGGCCTCCACCCCAAACCACAGATACAGATACTAATGCGGAAAAAACCCCCCCCCCCCCATACCAACAATACCACACCCCGATGACATTCTTCTTTGCAAATAACAGGTCTAAACCCAGCAACAAACAAAAAAAACCCTTTTTCATCCGGGGACTCCTTGCGAGGCAAAGGAAATTTTTTTGCGGCTTTCCGAGACCCACATAAAGGTTTCACTTGGACAACGAAATATGGATCCCGGTTACAACCTAACAGATTGAAGGTGAACAGGCAAAAGGAGGGGGGGGGTTTGGCCTGTACATTGCAGATCACTTTTTTTGCACAGAACTGCTAAATCCCTCAAATATGTAGTAATTTTTTAGCAAAAAGGTCAAAACCCAAAAACCCAGTC